GTTTTAAATTTAAAAAAAAAAAAAAAAAAAAAAAAAAAAAAAAAGGTTGACAAGAGAAAATTGCACTCTTATCTTCTCTAACCCCTCTCTCTTTATGATAATTATAAACCCTAAGGATGACCCTCAATTTATAAAATAAATTAGTGCAAAACCAAATTTCACAATGCTTAATAGAATTTTACAGGAATACAAATTCCTAAATAGTGCTTAATGAAATTTCGGTCTGAGTTATTTCTGCGACTAGTTTCACGAAGTGGCAATAATTAGGTCCCACGACTTAACAAGAAGTAATCGTTACACGAAAACAAACACTTAGAAACAAACATATACAGACAATAAAAGAAGAAAAACAGAGAGATCATCGTTTATATACCATGTTGTAAACGAGATACTGACCTTCTAAGAATGCCAACCAAATCATCATTAGGACCAATCAATGCAACATTATTAGAGACTCCAATTCTTTCCTTAACCTCATCATCAATGGCCAACACAATAGGAAGGGACATATTCACAACACTCCCATCTTTCATTCTCAAACAATTAAAATGCAAACTCTGTAAATACTCATCTTCTCTCATGAACCCTTTTAGTGGGCTAGCCCAACCCTCACTTATAACATGAACCCACTCAAGATCAATCTTTGTAAGCCTCACCTTCGGCATTGTTTCAGCATCTGAAATTTTGGCTGCTCTTTGGATCTCTGGCACCACAAGATCCACCAATTGACCCCCATCTGGCTCAATCAAAGAACTTTTCACTACCAAAGAACCCTTATTAGAAGGAGATGATAAAGAAGCCATCTCTTTATGGATGAGCAAAAATGGGGCAAACGGATTGGAATGGTATATGGGTTTGGTCTTAAATTTGGTGCTGTAATGGCATTTCTTGATTGTGGAATGTAACTGTGCAGTATTAGTGATATGTAGTCTAATTGTTAGGGACATTTTTGGTCTAATAATCGTTTAAAATGGCTACTTTTTTAGTTCTTGAATGATAGAATGAATTTGTATATGGATCCGAGAAAGTTGGGTGGTGTGGAGTGGCGTGGGGTCTTAGATTTGGTGGACACAATTTTATGTGGTGGAAATGGGCACGAGGAATAGAATGTAATGATGACAAACTGAAAAGATGTCCACAGGTTTTGCCCGGTTTACCCATTAATTTTCATTTCATTTTTCTTCTTCCTATTTTTAATCATACAATCTTCATAAAATAATATTATATGTAAATTGAAAAGTTTTGCTTCTTTTTCAATTACTCATTTTTCAAGATAATACTATTCCCCCTTTTTTTTTTTTTTGATATCTAGGAACAGAAATGCTCTGTTCCCCGAATTGGGAAGATGCCCAACTTCCCGATTTCCTTTTTTTATTCATTTTATTTCACCCCTCTGCAGCTTTGGTCCTTTTTTCAACTCCCCAACCTACCCCCACCCCCACGCCACCCCTCCCTCCTCATTTAATTTTATGTACAAAATTGTACTATTTTATTGTGCCTTTTATTTTGCTTCAATTTTTAGTGCATGTATTTTTTAATATTTTAAGTGCTTTATTTTCATTTTCTCTCTTTTATTACATGTAGATTACATTTGTGAATTTAAACTTCATTTTGTTACGGATTACTAGTGTGTTCGGGATTTTTTTAGTATTATAACATTTTTTTTATTTTTTTAAAAAGTAACATATGTGGTTGAAAAGTAGTTTTGAAAAATGTAATGGTTAAAAAGTGATTTGAAAAAATGTGAAAAATAAATTTATGGTGAATTTTGCATCCACTGTTTGAATTGGCAAACTAAAAAATTATTTGTTAGACATGCATTTTGGAATCACGTTCAAGCATAACAAGTTACGATAATACAAGGACATTAAAGTTAAACAAATCGATAAACAAACATGTTAAATCGTACACAAATTTTGACAATTTTTTGTGCAATATCTTAAGGGATCGATTTAAATCGTGTAAAAAAATTGTGTGCAATATCCTTAATAAAAAAGGAAAAAATTGATCTCATACTTAAAAAAAAAAATAATAATAATAATAATTAAGTTGCTCCGCTTGCTCCTGGAAAAAAATCATAATAAAATAAAAAAAATTTCACACACGGGGGCACTTGCCTCCGTGTCCCGGAGACACTTGTGTTGTGTTTTCAAAATTTTTTATTTATTTATTTATTTATTGTTACTTCTTCTCTTCCTTGCAGGTAGGAGCAAGACTTAATTTTTTTTATTTTTTATTTTATTAGTATGAGATAAATTTTTTCCATTTTTCTTAAGGATATTGCACAAATTTTTTTTACACGATTTAAATCGAACCCTTAAGATATTGCACAAAAATTTGTCAAAATTTGTGTACGATTTAACATGTTTGTTTATAGATTTGTTTAAATTTAATGTCCTTATATTATCGTAACTTGCTATGCTTGAACGTGTTTCAAAATGCATTGTCTAACAAATAATTTTTTAGTTTGCCAATTCAAATAGTGGATGCAAAATTCACCATAATTCAAGCAAAATTCACCATAAATTTATTTTTCACATTTTTTCAAATCACTTTTTAACCATTACATTTTTCAAAACTACTTTTCAACCACATATGTTACTTTTAAAAAAAATAAATTTTTTTTTTATAATACTAAAAAAAAACCCGAACACACTAGTAATCTGTAACAAAATGAAGTTTAAATTTACAAATGTAATCTACATGTAATAAAAGAGAGAAAATGAAAATAAAGCACTTAAAATATTAAAAAATACGCGCACTAAAAATTGAAGCAAAATAAAAGGCAAAATAAAATAGTACAATTTTGTACATAAAAGTAAATGGAGAGGGAGGGGCCAGGTGGGGGTGGGAGTAGCGTGGGGAGTTAAAAAAAGGACAAAAGCTGCATAGGGGTGAAATAAAATGAATAAAAAAATGAAATCAGGAAGTTGGGCATCTTCCCGATTCGGGGAATAGAGCATTCCTATATCCAGGTATCTCCACTTACACCAGACTAAATTCTAGACCTTCAAGACCCATGAAAAATACTATTCCACCCATTTTTATTTCTACAAAATGTGGGTCAAACAAAGGCTTTGTGAATTCCTAAGCTAATGGGTGGGGTTGTTTTTGCATTTTTAATTTTCTATTTTATAACTTCCAAATGGATACCTTTCTGTTGTGCTTTAGAATTCATAATTTGAAATTTTTTCGAAGTAACATGGTGCAAAAGGAATTTGACGTGAATAATAATAAAGATTTGATTTGTAACACAGAAACAAGTGTTGCTTGAATTTCGTTCAAACAAACGTGAGAAATACAAAAATATACCATGTAATGGGAAAATTGAATTTTTATTAATAAAAAAGGATTATAGGATTTTCAAACTCTTAAAATATTTTTAAAGAGTCAAAATGAATACTAATCAAAGCGAAATCCTAATTCAATAGACAAATATGAATAAAACTAAAAAGCTGAATTAATGACGAAAATACCCTTAGATTGATTCAAAACAGAAAAAAATGATAAAATGGATCTTTAAATGATGAAATTTGACCCCCAAAAGTTAGACAATGTTCGCCAAAGGCCAATTGTCATCCAGACAAAAATTATAGGGAATTGAAAAACGCTTTTGATTGTACTCTCTCGCGTAAATTTGATACTCAAGTTGAAAGTTACACGTGTTTTTATAGATCATTTTTATTTCTCTCTTCTTTTTTTTCCAACTGATATATGATTTTCTTTTCTAATTGTTCCGCACTAGAATTAATATTAAAATCTTGTCATCACCACAATATCAAGAAAATTTATTAATTGAGAAATGTACAAGGATAAAAAATATTGAAAAATATTCCATGTCATGTTATTTTAGTACAAGAAACATTTTAAAATGGATGATTTCTTTTTCGTACATAAATCCAAATTTGTAATAATAATTCCTAGACTCTGTTTGGTTCGGATTAAAATCTGATTTTAATCTAAACCAAAGTCAAATAATTAATATTAATCATATTTTTCATGGATCCCACAATTTTTTAACCACACATTTTCAAAATTTTTTATCAAAATTTACTAAAAATTTAATTTTAATCTCCACCAAACAACCTATTATTTGGGACTAGAGACAGTAGGACAAAATAAGAGGCTAGTTTTCTCTTCTAATAAACTCATTCATTAGCGGCATGGCTTTCTTACGATTTAATTCCTAGCACATAATTTTTAATATTTGACATGTTACATGTAAATTGATTGGACGCGATCAAGAAATAGAAACATACAAAATCTCTGTCACTATATATTTATGCCCTATCCCACGGGACTCACACAAAATATGTTTTTAAATATTTGTAAAATATTATAAAATACTAATCTGGAAAAACTATCATTCTAATACTAGTCAAATTTCCCTTTTTTTTTTTTTCTTTTTTTTCCTCTTTTCTTTCTTTTTTTTTTATTTAATTTTTTTTTTTTTTTTCCTTATGTAAGAATCATAAGCAATGATCATATAATTTAAAAGTAAAAATTAAATAGGTCACAGGATGAAAATTTACTTAAAATTAACTGCAACTATTTTTCAATCTTAGCAAAAACATGATTGTTTGATCACCCATGGGAAAAATATACTGTGACAAACAAAACAGGAAAATAGTTCAAGAAAAATGGAAAATTCTCCTTGGACAGGGTCCAATTTGGCGCCCCCCTATTGGAGGGGGCGCTCACGGCCCCTTTCCGAGTAGCACCACTTGAGAAAAATTTCTACGTCAATAAACAACGATGAACAGCAAAAGGAAATACTAAAAGCGCATTCAAGAACGAAGAATCTTTGTTTTGCATTACTTTTCTCAGTTCTTTTCTGTAAGCACTTACCAAATTCTTTTGTTCTGTATATTCTGAAGGAACATTATTGTAAGAAAAGTTTCTTTTTATCGAAGAGAATGGTGAATTGTGGATTCGTATACGTTTCCTTATAGCTTTTTTTTTATTTGTTCTTGGCATTGAATAATTACATCTGTTTCTGATTATTGATTTTATTTTTTATATTTTATATTTTTTTCCCCAGTGTCAGGTTTTGCAATTTAAGTCAAAAGATTGAAACTTTTGAGTTTTGGAGAAAAGATGTGGATTTACTTAACTGGTGATTAAGAAATTAGTGGGATTTTTCAGTTCAGAGTGGATTTCTGTACCTGAGGCTGTCTCTTTTGAATTTTTTTTTATTGATATTGTTTGAAAAAATTAATTTTTTTGTCCCTTTTCTTTAAAAAATGTGAAGACAATGGAAGTTTGTTTGTTTCCTCAGGGTTTCACATATTTCAGCTTCTTGATGAGTCTAATATTTGATCATTTTTGCATCCAAGGTTGTTGGTATTTTAGTATATGTTGAATGAAAAAATAGAGGCCCATTTGGTGACGGTGATAGTTTAAGTTGTTCTTTAAGCTTGCTCAGATATCATTCTATGCGAGATCTGTAGGTTGAATTTGGGTGATCCAATTGAAATATGCTCAAACAAATACTTAATAAGATTCCTAGAAAACATTTGAAATCGGGTAAGGACCATAACCTCCCTTCAAGTGCAGTTGATGAAGTTATTTCAGCCTCTCATTCTGTATTAAGCAATAGGAATAATCCAAAAGATGAGTTTTTTCGAGATAAGAAGTCGAAAGAATATGAAAATTCGTTTACCGTACTGTATGGATCTTTGCCAAGTTTTATTGAAGTTCATAGTTCTGAGAAGAGGAATTTGTTTCTTAGGAAACTTAAGTTCTGTTGCATTCTATACGACTTCAACGATCCTACGAAGAACCTTAGAGAAAAGGAAATCAAGCGGAATACATTGTTGGAGCTAGTGGAATATGCGACTTCTGCAAATGTCAAACTCACGGAACTCGAATTTCAAGAAGTCGTTAGCATGGTGTCTATGAATATATTTAGGGAATTCACTCCTCAGCCGAGGGAGAATAAGATTTTAGATGGTCTTGAATTGGAAAAGGATGAGCCTGCAATGGATCCTGCATGGCCTCATTTGCAAATTGTCTATGAATTTCTGCTAAGTATGGTAGTATTGCCTGAAACAGATGTAAAAGTTGCTAAAGGATACATTGATAAATCCTTTGTTCTCAAATTGCTCGATCTTTTCGACTCTGAAGATCCTAGAGAAAGGGAATACTTGAAAACTATACTACACAGCATATACGCGAAGTTTATGGTTCTCCGGCCTTTCATCAGGGTCGCTATCAACAACATATTCTGTCGTTTTATTTTCGAGACTGAAAAGCATAATGGCGTTGCTGAACTTTTGGAAATTCTCGGCAGCATAATTAATGGATTTGCTTTGCCACTAAGAGACAAACATAAACTCTTCCTTCAGCGGACGTTAATTCCCTTGCATAAACCAAAAAGTGTGGCGATGTACCATCAACAGTTATCTTACTGTATGGTGCAGTTTTTAGAGAAAGATTGTAAACTTGCTGATATGGTTACAAGGGGACTGTTGAAGTACTGGCCAGTTACCAATAGCTCGAAGGAAGTCTTGTTCCTTAAAGAGCTGGAGGAAGTTTTAAAGGCAACAATGCCAACTGAATTCAAATGCATTATGGTGCCTTTGTTTCATCAAATTTCTTGTTGCTTGAATAGTTTGCACTTTCAGGTATTAAATCTGTTTTCACCCATCTTTTCCATTTGCAAATTTCGCTGGTTTCTGGCAATTATCAGTATATATGTCCATTACATGACTTTCATCTCATGATCTCCTATGCTTGTTTTAAATATATCATGATTCATAACTATTGGAGAAATATGCATTGTTTCCTTAGCGAAGTGCCTGACATCTGCTTTATTTATTAGAACGGTTCTAGGATGGTGAAACTAGGTACTTATAACCTTCAGTATTTTTTGCAGCTTCTTTATTTTCTTAGCCGAACTTCAAACTCCCTCCTCGAATATGAGCATATTGTTTATCTTTAGAACTGCATTCCAGCTTTTTCTTTCTGGATTAATGTTTATCGAGTTCAGGGAAAGATTACAATTATGCAACTTAAATTAATTAAGGTTTATCGAGTTTTATTACATCTATAAGGAACTATTCCAAATAGGTCCAAAAGTAGCTTCTTAGTCTTAAATGCCACTTTTAACTTTTCGAAAGTGATGTGAAACGGGCCCTATTATTCTTGTTCTTGCAAGTGTTTACTCATACATCTCTAGAAATATTTATTCAGTGTTGAAGGAGATATTATAGATGAATCTCATGTAGCATTCTGAATTATACAATGTTTTATACATAGGAATTGCTTTAAGCTAAAAACTAAATAATACATGTTAATTACAGAACAAATTAGAGAGATTATTTCCACATATTTGAAGCCACAAATCAGTGAGTATAAATGGTTTCTTGTGCTTTGTGGTGACACAAATACAATAGAGCAAACTTAGCATAGGAAATGTGTCGGCCTTATCTTTTCATGAGGTGGAAATATTCATAATTGAATGATCCAGTGCCATTTCATATATTTTTACCGCCACATTTTGACTATCTTTCCCAATCTGCATCTGGTCTTTTGAGTTCTAAAATTATATCTAATTTTCTGCGCCTGAATGTGCTTGGAGAGTAAGATATTCCTTAATTTCCACATCGAACGTTTAAATTTATTCTACAAATTTGTCATCAAGTTAAACCATGTTCGCCCAGGGCTGTGGATAGCAGTGATTTTAACAAATTTTTGATGAATGTAGGGGAATGGGATGGAGGAATAGGGATTAATTTTTTGAATGGTCACTTAACTATACCAAGTGCTAATACTTATTAACTAAACTTTAAAACATATTTCAGTTATCATTGAATTATGCACCGTGTTTATCCATCACTCAAGTGGGAAAATTCATTAGGTTTAACAAAATGCATCGGTGTATAGTTCTGTAACCATTGAGATATAATTTTAAATTCAGTTATCAAGTAGTAATAGTTTCTTCTTCCCTTAAATCGACTTTTGTGAATGAAGAAATCAAAGAAAATGAAGGAAAAAGAGGAATTGAAAATCAAAGGCCTATAATTGAAGAAAAATAGAAATTTTCAGAATTGAGCATTGCAAATTTCTGCAAAAGATCAATTTTTCCAAACTGATTATCTGATATTTTTACTATCGATTGCATTTTTGGTAGTGGGCAGTCGAGATTTGGGCAAAAGATTGAATTTGCCTGGTGGGTATCTCATTTTTCTACAAAGAAATGATTTTTCGAAGAAAGATTGATTTTCAGGAAGTGGTGGTTGAGATTTCTGCAAAAGATTAGCTTTTTTTAAATTTTAGGATCAAAGATTTCTACAAAAGATAATGCTAAGAATCTTATACTTCTAATTATTTAAACATTGACCGAACCATACCAATTTTTACTACTTAATAACTAAACTTAAAATTATATCTCAATGTTTTCTAAACTATGCACTGCATTATACATTCATCGTTCAAGTCGACGCCGTTTGTTGAACCTAACAAATATTCCCACTTGAGTGATGGATGGATAATACAATGCATAGTTCAATGATATTACGATATATTTTTACGTTTAGTTATTAAGTAGCAGCACTTGATATAGTTCAGTGACCATTCAAATAATTAACCCATGGAGTATGAAGTATGGATACTAACAAGATATTTTATTTTTATTTAAATATATTTTAATCTTTCGATAGATTAGTACTTTTTTAGCTTTGATTTTGAATTTTGCACGTTAAATCTTTTAAATTAGGGGAGTGACAATTTGTAGGATTAGTACACCTTTGGGTTGTAATATTTATACTAGTGCCAACAAAAGAATAACACATACAGCAGACATAACAAATTAGACATAATTTTTTCTGTGTTTGAATTATTAAAAATTGTCCCTAGTTTTATATTCTAAAATTTACCAAATGGGTTTTGCCATATCCTTCATATGTCGTGGTATATTTCTTGTGCATTAGAGATCGTAAAGGTAAAAATAATGGGACAATGCCCCATGGCATGTTGGACACGTGCTTAAGGCTTGTGGGGGAAGTGTCCCTCAGGTGTTGGGATCTGCACCGAGAGTGTTCAATGTCTGACAATCCACCATAGGTATGGTGTCGGTGCTTCACAGGAGGGCATGTGGAGATTTTGCAAATTTGTTGCTTATACCTGGTAATGTCCAATTTAGAAAACTACGTTGATGCAGTGAGAAAAAGGAATTCAAGCGAAAACCTTAAAAATATGAAATTTGAAATCCACCAAATTAAGAAGAAAATAACTTTACGAATTTTTATTGATATATGAAAATTAAAAAATGAAATAACCCCTTATTTATAAGGGTTTACATGGAAACGTAATTTAAAACAACCAAAATTGACCTGTTTCCTCTCAAGATAGTTATTGGAACGATGCCCAGGCTTTTGGCATCTCTAGCAAATTTCTCTCGTGGGCTTAGCATACGGATTTATATTCTGAGGTGCGCCTCGAGTCTGACCTTTGTTCCCAAATCTACCATTTTTGTCAACCTTACTCCTGTGATGATTGATTAGGAGTTGTTGTGGGGCCTTTCCTTTGTCGGCAGTCGGTAGGTAAAGGCCTCCTATATGAAATCATCTTCTTATCAGATTCCATCATCTCTGCTATCATCGTCATATTAATGGCTTCCTGCAATGTTCAAATATTTTGCATCCCAATTCTATCTTGAATGGCCACCTTCAAACTACTGGTATTCCTTGTTATCTTTTGATTTTCAGATTCTGACAGACTGTTCCGCTTCGGCAATCTCATAAATTCATTGGTGTAATATGACACTGTACAATTACCCTATGAGCAACCCAGGTACATATGATATAAAATCTGTTCATAATTAGGTAAAAATCGATCAATCAAAGATTGCTTCATCTTTCTCCAAATTAGAATCCGACTCTTTCCCTGTCTCCTTCGAGCGTTCTGTAATTGATCCCACTATACTGCTGCCACAGATTTCAAACTAAATGCCACTATCTTAACCATCTTGTTCTTTAAGACATCCATAATTTCAAAGAATTTCGCAACCTCTACCAACCAATCCAAGAAGTTTTCAATCTTTATGTTTCTAAAGAATGGAGGAATGTCTACTTTAATTCGATAATCATCAAAGGTATTTCGATTTTGATGATTAGGATGATGCGGCGGTACTTCGAACTCCTTCGACTTTGATTCACTATCTTCTACTACACCCCTCTTATTATTTTCTCTTTGAACTACAGACTCAGCTATCCGTTCATTGTTGATTGCCTATTGTTCATTCTGCCCATTATTTCTAGCACCCCCTAGAAGCAATTGATGAATTTCTTTGATTTGAGTATTAAGATTGTCAATCTGTTCGTCAAGTCGTCGAATTATTGCATCTAAATCTGCCCTAATAACTGGTACGTCCCGTGTGTTTATGAATCAAAGATATAGAAATGGGAAAGTCAACTCTAATACCACTTGACACAACGAGAAAAAGGAATTCAAGCGAAAACCTTAAGAATATGAAATTTGAAATCCATCAAATTAAGAAGAAAATAACTTTATGAATTTTCATTGATGAATGATAATAAAAAAAAACGAACTAACCCTTTATAGATAAGGGTTTACATGGAAGCGTAGTTTAAAACAACTAAAAGTAATAAAAAGAAAGTTTAAACAAACTAAAATTGCAAAAAACCCAAAATAAACGAATTGAAAAATATAGTGCCAAAATTTTATAAATCAGTTTTCGAGTCCTAAATGAACTCGAATGGTCGAAATTCATTGTATGACACAGCATAGCTATGGGTATTGTTCCTCTCGTCGTTTTCTTTCCATAATGGTCTTATGAACCCAATCCGGAATCAGGATGTTCTCTTTCTACTAGTACTTTTTCCCCAATATGCCCTACATCATACATTCTCTAGGAGTATGCCCACAAAAAATGATCAGTTCCATGCATCAAGTCATACTATGTTGCGAGACAGTGTATTCAATTATGAAGCTAGAAATTGGTTTTGCCAGTTCTAGCATAAGAAATTTGTCATTGATGTTGATGCTGGTATGACAAGATGTATGAGCAGCATCGTTCTGATGGCTCCGTCTTTGGCAGTTTATAGGACGTGTTATCCTTTTTCGAGGGCCAGAGCTGTAGTTACAGTGTAATGGCTCAATGTAGTCTTCTTTTTAACGGCTTTCGTTAGAAGAGAGATGCCTATTCTCCATTCTCCTTTGATGAAACAGATACAAGAAATAAAATGTTCGTATGTAGGAATGTTGATTGATTGTTTATTTCATTATAGTTTTATGATTGAGAGTAAGTCTCAGTAACCTACAAAATGGGATTTCTGGAACTATTTTATATCTCAGTATGCTCGATTGAACACGTCACACTTGAGAATACCTTATTTTAGTTGTGGCTTATTGAACGTTGAATTGATTTAAGAGACTAATGCCTGTATTCATTTCAGGTTGCAGAGAGGGCTTTGTTCTTGTTGAACAATTACCGCATTGAGAAACTAATCATAGAAAACCGGGTGGTTATACTGCCTATAATCTTCCCTGCACTGGAGAAAAATTCTAGGTACCATTGGCATCAGGCCGTGCATGGTTTGACACTGTCTATCCGCAAATTCTTCTATGATCTCCACCCTGATCTAGTTAAGTTGTACTTGCTGAAGTTTCGGCAAGATGAATCAAATAAAGAAGAGATTAAAGAAAAGCGCGAAATTACTTGGAAACAGATTGAAAAACTTGCTGCTGAAAGGGCTACAAAATGATGAAGCCGTGCTTTCTTCCTTGAACTGGACTTCATTTGGCTTGGGCTTAGAGAGAAATGGCACTTTTGCTATTTCCCTCTATTTATCTTTGGCTTTTGACTTGGTTGGACAGTAATATTGTTTCATTTTTTCTATTTATTTTTCGCTTTCTTTCATTTTTGAATAGGAGGAGCAGGAGGGCCATTTGTTTAGAGGAGGATTGCCTCCGTATTTTTCAGACATTCTTAATAATTTCAGTTGAATAGATTAGCAGATAGGCTGTCCAGGATGCAGAATTTGATTAATTTTATGTAGAATCTTCCTACTGTTTTAACTAAACAGAGATTTTTCTTGTTCTGTTCCAATAGGAAGACTCAATGAAAAATATGGATTTACATTTAATTGGGTATGAAAGGATTGAGCCCTCATCCCATTTATAAGTGATATTAAGCAAAAGGATGTGTAAGCAAATATATAGATTTGGTCCCTATCTGGTTCAGTTAAAAGAGTTTATTAAAATTTGAGTCAAAATCATTTATTGGTTTTAACAATATATTTCATTGGATTTACAACTTTTTACGACAAATTCTATCAATTTTTATAAAAATTTATTAAAAATATGATTTTTATCCAAATCAAACTGGAGCTAATGATGGTTCACTTTCAATAATAGGGATACACCTATTTGCAGCCGTAGGCCCACTGCGGACAAGAAGAAGATTTGATTTTACACTGCTCGATCTCCTAGAAAGGACTTCTAAAATTTCTTGTATAGTTTCAACACGATTTTCTAATTTTTCATAGAATAACATTTATTTAATTTAAAAGGTGATATACAAAATATATAAATGACTTGATTCACTTCATATAACTCTAGTAAACTCGAAACATGTTATACTAGTTAAGTGTCATGTTCATCAAGATTAATTTGACACATTTATAACTACAAATGATTTAACAAAATTTCTACTCATCTTTCCCATCATAATCGACTAAACCAACCTCAAAATATCACCACATTCCAACACAATACAAAATAACATATCTACTGAACATTAAGAACAAATTTTTTTTAATTTTTTTTCCCATAAATATGCCATAATAAGACCAAAATATGCCTAATTGAAAATAACAGATCAGGTTCTATATATTACAGTACATGACACTTTCCATGCCATTTTCAACTACTGGGGGTGTGAAAGCTAGGCATCCATGAAATATGCAATTTCTTTGATTAAATTTTACACTCGATATTTTGAACAACTCACTATATTTTATGATTTTACGAAGAGTTTACTCATAATATTTCAATGATACAAAGTAACTCACTTTATATAGGCAATCAATTTTATGTTCTAGATTGTTGGAATTACACGATTTCGTAATTTTCTACCCATAAATTTAGATTTTCCCTTAGAAAAATCCTTTTGTAGTGGACATTAAATAACACAGAGCATCAGAAGAAAATTCGCCCCTTTATTTTCTTCTGGCTTCACATTGAGCAAATTATCATTAACCATGCCCATGATTAACTTTATGTCTAGTGCTGAATTACTTAGAGATATCACCAGTTATCCTAGCTATCAAGAAAAGAGCTCAGATATCGTAATGCTTGCATTCAAGTGTCATCTTCTTGGTTGACTAAGCCTTAATCTTGATTGTCTGCTCAATTACACTTCGTCGTTCCTTGTACTCGAGGTCCACAAGCCTTCTGATTATCGTTGTTTTGTTCCAGGGTGTATTCTTCTCATACACGTCACTCTAGCTTTTTCTAGATAGCATCGGCTTTGGTTTCTTTGATTGGTCGAAATAGGTCTTCACAATAAAGTAATTCCTGCATTTGATGGTTCCATATGGAATAATTTGAGGAGGATGGATTTTCTTTCATTTTGACAGACAAGAAGTTTTATTTTTTTGAGAGCCAAAGCACTGACATTGGTTGTTGGGAAAAATCGTCTATTAATGATATGCAGTGGAATAATTTCACATGATGGTTTCTCCTCCATAAAAGAAGCCTTTCACTTTGCTAGTAAAAGTATTGAAATTTGAAAATAAAAATCATGTGGTTTGTTCTCTCTAAATTTCCAAACCAATCTCCTTCTTCCTTCAAAGCTTCAAAAGTAAGATTTGTATAATAAAATAAGAGTTTGATCGGTAGTACTCATTCATTATGCCGATCCTTTGCATTAGAAAGATCACTTTATAGAACAAAAGAATGTACCTGTGGGCCCGACACCCCCTCCTTGGAGGGGTGCCAATCTGGCGCCCTGTTTGGACAAGGCCTACATGGCCTTTTATCCTTGTGATTAATATAGATTTGCCAGTCCCATTAATTAGTTGCTATTGTTGAAACCAGGCTTCACGATTTCTTTGGAGGTTACAATCATTTCAACCTTCATTATTATTACCTAGGAACATCTTAACCTACTCAAACTAGCTGAAAGCTTATAATTTGTACTATCTCGTGGCTTGCATCTTAAGAATATAGTAGTTAAAAAAAAAAAAAAAAAAAAAAAAATCAAGAGTAATATGTTATGAAGCATAATTATTGTCGTAGCGCGAAATCAATTACACAAATAATTAGGATTATTATATAATCATCAGAGATAAAGAGAGAGGGGCGTTATAGAAAATAGAGTGTAAGCATGTTTTTTTTTTTTCCTTCTTTTGAACTTCCTTTTATCATTTTTCAGCACACCTATCTTTTCTTCTCTATTTATACACTAAATTTTAATACATACATTTTACATACAAAGAGAATATTCTTGTTCTTCCTATCCACTAGTGTCTAACAGTATATACACATCCCTTAAATTTACTGCTGTGCACTGCCTATTCCGTTAGTAGTATTAACAGCCTCTAGTGCAAGATATTAAGATTTATTACTTAATCCTAACACCCCCCCCCCTCAAGGCGGAGTGTGTCTCTACCACTCCAAGCTTGTCTCTGAGGAATATGAATCTTGAATGAGAAAGAGGTTTGGTCAGTATGTCTGCAGTTTGATCTGAGGAAGGAACAAAATGTACTTCCAGTTCTTTCTTCAAAATTTTGTCTCTCACAAAATGGATGTCTAGTTCTATATGTTTTGCATGGGCATGATACACTGGATTTGATGCCAATGCACTTGCACTCAAATTATCACACCAGATTTTAGGTATTGCATTATGTGGTATACTTAACTCATTCATTAGGGACTCAATCGATGCTATTTCTGATGCGGTGTGAGCCAATGCTCTATTCTCAGCCTTTGTACTTGATCTTGCAACAACATGTTGTTTCTTTGAACACCAAGACACCAAACTATCACCCAAGGTAAACACAATAGCCAGCTGTAGACCTTCTATCATCTGGACAAGACGCCCAATCTAAATCTGCAAATGCTGTAATGTCTAAGCTATCACTTCTCTGAATAACAAAACCATGTTTCAGTGTACCCTTTAGGTATCTGAAAATTCTCTTGAGAGCCTTCCAATGAACATCTGTAGGAGCTTGAAGGAATTGACTCAATTTATTTACCGAATAGGCAATATCAGGTCTCGTGTGTGCAAGATATTAAAGGCCGCCAACCGCACTCCTGTAGAGAGTAGGAGTATTCATGGTTTGCCCTTCATCTTTAGATATCAGCTTACTAGCAGCCATAGGTGTTAATCCTGATTTTAAGTTTTCATAACCAAATTTTTTCAGCAAATCAGCTATTTACTTTATTTGAGTGAGATATAGCCCTGTTGTGTCTCTATAGACCTCTATACCTAGGAATTGGCTGAGATTGCCCATATCTTTAAGAGCAAAACAGGCATTCAGTTTATCAATAAATATCTACAGGTATTGGCCATTATTCCCTGTCACCACTATATCATCCACATACACCAATGCAAACACTACAATTTTTTCATCCAATGAGAAAAATAATGAGTTATTTGCCTTGGATTGTTTGAAGTTCCATTCCAGTAGAGTCTCCTTCAACCTGTCATGCCAAGCTCTTGGTGCTTGTCGAAGTCCATAAAGGACCTTTTCAAGTTTACATACAAAATTAGGATTTTTTGGATCCTCAAAACCTTGAGGCTGATTCATGTATACAGTTTCTTCCAACTTGCCAATCAAGAAGGCATTATTTACATCAACCTGCCTGATTTGCCAATCTCTAGACACAGCAAGAGTCAATATAATTTTCAGTGTTGATGCCTTAACAATTGGACTAAAGGTTTCACTAAAATCAACTCCAGGTGTTTGTAGAAACCCTTTTTGCAACGAGTCTTGCTTTATACCTCCTTATCTTGCCTTCAGAGTCACATTTCAACTTATAGACCCATTTGTTTCCAATTATTTTCATTCCAGATTTTGGAGGCACCAATTTCCATGTTCTATTCTTCATCAAAGCATCATATTCTTCTTGCATGGCTTTTCTCCATTTATCACTTAACAATGCCTCATGTGCACTATGTGGCTCAACTTCAAGCAGTTGATCCTGAACTTGATTAGTGTACACCTTTGGTTTGAAGATTCCTACTTTACTTCTAGTGGTTATATGATGTCCAATGGTTTTTGTTATACTATGATCATCAATATTAGCATCATTTCCACCATTTTCACTTTGCCTTGGTTCATTTCAGCACCACTTCCTTCACTTTCATTCAACTCGTTCTCTGTTTCATGTTCCACACTTATGTGGGAGTATGTAGCAGGTGTTGCTTCAGGATGGGTTGTATCAATTACAATTTGAGGTGTTGTCTGATGACTTATTAATTCAGCATCCAAAGGAAGAGGGCTGATGGCAATTTTTGAAATTTTTGGCTGAGTACGTGTGTTTAGAAAATTGGACTTGAAAGGAAATTCTTTTTCATCGAACACCACATGCCTGGAGACATACATTCTACCAGTTGAGTTTAGGCGCTTGTATCCTTTATGCGAGTCACTATAGCCAAGGAAAACACACCTTTGAGAGTGAAAATTAAACTTATGGTTTTGGTATGGTCTCAAACATGGGTAACAAGCACAACCAAATGTTCTCAATGTCTTGTGATCAAAGTTTTTCCTATATAGGATTTGAAAGGGTGATCTGGATTGAAGTATTGGAGTAGGAACTCTATTTATAAGAAAGGTTGTTGTTTGAAAAGCTTCCAGCCAGTAGTACAATGGCATTTGTCCTTGGGCTAAAAGTGTTAAACCGGTTTCAGTGATGTGTCTATGTTTTCTTTCTGCCCTACCGTTTTGTGCAGAGGTATAAGGACAGGATTACCTAAGTTCAATTCCTGATTCCAAGGCAATCTTATCAAAGGTTGTGAAATCACCTCCCCAGTCTGATTGTAATGTTTTGATTTTTCTTTCAAGGTTATTTTCTACTAACTTCTTGAATTTAATGAAGATACTTAAGGCTTCTGACTTTTGTTTCATTGGATATATCCATGTGAACCTACTATAATCATCCACAAATAGAATATAGTACCTAAACCCCGAGGTAGAAATCCTTAGAGCTGGTCCCCAGACATCAGTGTGTATGAGGTCAAGTGGGTTTGATGCATGAATTGAAGATGTGTTAAAAGGTAAAGCATGAGATTTACCGAGTCAACAAGCTTAACAGAAATTTGGAGTTTCATTAACTTCACCAATTTTACAAGACTTAAGGACTTGACTCAACACAGAACTTGAAGGATGACCTAGCCCTCTATGCCAGGTATCCAACTTAGACTTAGGTAACTTGACACTCTTTTTGACTCATCACACCTTGAGCTTGCTGAGAAGACTGCAAGGTTGATTTATTTTGATAGCTTAACTCTGTGGTGGTAACTTTAGGCTTAGGACTTGGTAGTTTCAGTTGATACAACCTATCTTTAAGCATCCCTTACAGCAAGATCTCCTTCGTTTGCAGGTCCTTAACAACACAATAGTGAGGATAAAACTCCATAAATACATTGTTGTCATTTTTTAATGAGAAACACTGATAAAACTCCATAATACATTGTTGTCATTTGTTAACTGAGAAACACTAACCAAATTTTTCTTAATTGCAGGCACATGAAGCAATTTATTCAATGCAATGTAATAAGATTTCTCCTGCCAACATTAGCAATATGCAAAGAATTTCCATTACCAACAAGCAACTTTTCCTTACCTCTATATTTTCTCATGGCATCCAGATTACTTTTGTCATCATTAATGTGGTTGCTTGCTTCAGAATCTGCGAGTCTTCAATAGTTCTTGGTGAAGCTACATAGGCAGCAGGAGAAGAATTGTTCTGCATATTCTGGTTACTAGGTCTGCTGCCCATATACTTGTCTTCATATCTATTAAAACACCATCTTGCCGAATGGTTATTCATGCCACAAATTTGGCAAGGCCCTCTGCTTTCATTCATCCTACTTGCTCTACCCCCGCCCTTGCTCTTCCTCTAGAGTTGGAAAATCTCCCACTATTAATAGATCTAAAACTTCTACCACCACCGGAACCTATCCTCTGTGTGAATTGCACACTTGACTGGTTAATATTCATTGTTCCCAAGTCATTCTTAACTTGATTGAGGTACTCAAGTCTGCTCTCAAAGGTCATGAGGACAGAGCAGAGTTCATACCATGATATATCTTCTTTGCTATTCAATTGCACCACAATAGGTGTGTATTCTTCATCCAGTCCAGATAGAACTTGAGTTACCAGATCATTTGGGTCTATGGTTTTTCCAGTAATTTGCAGGTTGTCTGCCAATTGTTTGATGGTAGTAAGATACTGATCCATGGACATTGATCTTTTCCTGGTCCTTTGCAACTCACCAGTGAGAAATATAACTCTGGATCTATTCATTATTCCATAGCTTTCCTTAATTGCACTCCACAACTTACTTGAGCTGGTGCATCCCATTACTCTCATTGCAATTTCAGGGGTCATGGATGAATACAACCATCCCATTAACAACTGATCAGTAGGAACCCACTTACTGTAATCAGGATTTTGAATCATTTCTATGGCTTCTCCCTCTTTAGTGGCTGTCTGAGTTTGTAGAAACTCTGGTGGACATGGCTTAGTTCCTAGCAAATATCCTTCAAGGTTGTGTCCTTTGATCAAGGGCATAACCATGTTTTGCCATAGCAAAAAATTATCTCTGTCCAACTTCACTGATGGAGTCTGAATAAGGTTCATCCCAAAGGGTGAGATCTGATTCACAAGAGGCTGAATGGTTGTTGTAGTGCTTGACTGACTTGGAGATGTTTGTCTTCCTGAATCGGTGTTAGCCATTAAAGCTCTGATACCAAGTTAAAAAAAAAAAAAAAAGAAGATTGCTGAACACTTAAAAGAATAACAAAGGACGTAGCTGTTTTTGAGAAATTTTCAGCACACTTAGCTCTTTCTTTTCTTCTCTATTTATACACTAAATTTTAATATATACATTTTACATACAAAGAGAATATTCTTGTTCTTCCTATCCACTAATGATAGGTGTGTAACAGTATATACACATCCCTTAAAATCAGGAAATTTACTGCTGTGCACTGCCTATTCCATTAGTAGTATTAACAGCCTCTAGTGCAAGATATTAAGATTTATTACTTAATCCTAACAATAGTCACTTCATTTTTATAGATACAATTAGATAAAAATATAACAGATTGAGATTTTAATCTAAATCAAAGTCAACAATTAATTTTAACCATCAATTTTATACAACTCACAACTCTTTTAACCGCACATTTCATCAAATTTTATCTAAATCTATTAAAAATTTGATTTTAATCCTCACTAAGTAGAGTCAAATTTATTTTTCACTTTTAGCATTTAGATCACACTTTCTAAAAATTGGAGTAAACGTAACATATGAATTTCTTTGCTTGATAGCCAACGAGGGCAATATGTTATAAATTTATAGTACTTCTGAGTCTATGTTTGGTATAGATTAAAATCTTGTTAAACTTAAGTCAAATTTAGAAATTAATTTTAACCATATATTTCGTCAACTTTTAATACAAACATAGTTAACATTTTAGGTTTCATTAAGAAAGTGACATTAAAACAAACCACTTTCTAAAACCAATTAGCTTCGTAAATAATGACCGATTTTACAGAATTACTTGAATAAACATTATAAAATAAATTAATAGTCCTCCAATAAAAAGTTGAAGATTTTCCCACTTTGATACTTCTTAATTCAAATTAAAAACAACATCAAACTTTGCCAATTCCACCTTTTTCCCCTTCACTAATTCCACCTTTTTCCCCTTCACTAATTAATTTTAGAGAATATTATCCGTTTACTTTTTAAATTAATAGTCCTCCAATAAAAAGTTGAAGATCTATTTTTTTTTAATTCTAAAAAATTTATTTTTTTAATATTTGGTTGTTTGAGCCCCATTTTTTAGATAAGAATATATTTTGGAGTAGTGATTATTTGGAGAATGTGCAATTGAAAAATAAGAAAATATTTTCGACTTATGTGTAATATTATTTTATTGAAAAAGTGTGATTGGAAAAATAGAAGAAAAATATATTTTACAGCGTCTTTTATAAGACTTCACTTTCTTGGGGACTTAAACCAAAAAAAAAAAAAATAGTTTGAGCTCTATTGAATAACTTAGTAAAATGGGTATGACTGCTATGGATGGTCCGATATCGAATAAATGAGTATCCTTTCTAAATGACAAAAAGTCTCTCTTTGAAAAGTAGTTTTACCTTTTCATGGATTCCTAAGGCCTGAGAGCCTAATCTCTTTATTCCCTAACCTAGCTGCCTTTTCTATTCTGAAAGGCTAGTCGCTCCACACAATATATAGCTACCGACCACCACAACCATTCATTGACAGCATTATGTTTGTTGGTTCAATTTTAATTTTTGAAGAAGGAAAAATAGTTAAATCTAATGGTGGTCCACTGAATTTTGGATGTTTCTTTTGTGATGGGTGATGGGTCATTCTCAGATGGCAAAAACCATCAATCAAAAAGTCGGAGATTTCATATTTTCTAGCCACTCATTCTTCATATTGAACTTTAGCACTTGAAAAAAAATAATGTGGATGGATCGCATTCCCGTTGCCGCATCTAGTTCACTTCATTATCTTGCACATGCTTTGTGCGTGCCCTCGCATCTTTTATCCCCGCATATCTTTTTGAGTAGAATCGATAAGTAGGCAGCTATTCTTCGTCATGAGGCCACTGCCAATCTTGGTGTGATTGTTGCTAATAAGCCTTTGTTTGTCAACCATTCAACCACATTATTTTTTCTATGGTACTCATTTTCAACTACACATTCTTCATTAAAATAATATTATATATAAATAAAAAAAATATTTATTTCTTTTTTAACCACATATTTCAACATCAATCACTATACAAACAACCCCTAAATATGGGAGAGGGTGCTTAATGAAATAATATTATTGAAATATATATTTTAGTTACTTGAAGGGGCACCATTTTAAAATCTCACACAGGACACCCAAAATTTCAGGGTCGGCTCTATTACAGGAAAGAATATGAAATCTGCCATTACAGGAAAGAATATGAAATCTGCCAATAATAGAATTGTATACACGTTTTTTTATTTTTGGTTGATTGTAATTGATTAGTTCCCAAGAATAGGATAGCTAATGTAGTATATAGAAACGTGCTTCCTCCTTTGTAAATTATCATTCAATATACAAATTACCTTCTTCCAAATCACTCATTCTTTCATGGTATCAGAGCATTGAATCTGGTGACTCTGAAATTCTGTAAACGCTTCCGCTACTTAATCCATTATCACAACTGCCATGGGAGACAAAGACAACAGAGGGATGGGATCGACACCGACTAAGGCGATTGTAGAAGGCACAGATCCTTATTCCCTGCATCATTCGGACCATCCAGGTATGGTACTTGTGTCCAAAGTACTTGAAGAAGACAACTACGGCACGTGGAGTCGGGCTATGCGAATCAGTTTAAGTGCCAAGAACAAGATTGGATTCATCACAGGTTCAATCAAACCGCCTTCTTCTACAGATGATAGCTTTCCTTCCTGGCAGAGATGCAATGACATGGTAATTTCATGGCTATTGAATTTCCATTCATCCAAACATAGTCAGCAGCGTGATTTATGCCGAAAGTGCTGCGAAAATCTGGTCGGACCTACAAGAGCGTTTTTCCCAAGGAAAAGATTCGAGAATTTTTCAAATCAAACAAGATATTATACAACATAGACAGGGGCAGCAATCGATCTCAACCTACTACATAAAGCTTAAAGCTCTTTGGGGTGAACTCTCAGCCTATCATGAACCAATGACCTGCACATGTGGTAGATTGGAGAAACTCAAAAAAAGGGAAGAGAAAGAAAAAGTCATGCAATTCCTCATGGGATTGAATGACAACTACACTGCTGTTCGTGGACAAATCTTGTTGATGCAACCCTTGCCTGATACACGTAGAGTTTATTCTCTCATTCTTCAACAAGAAAAGCAGACCGAAGTCTCTCTTAACCATGGGAATATGAATCGTCATGCCATGCTTGCAGATTAGGACAGCGAGACAACTCAAAGGCAGAGGATGCCCACACACTGCTCTTACTGTGATGGAGATAATCATAGCATTGAAAGGTGCTTTTACCTACATGGCTTTCCAGTAGGCCACAAGTTTCATGGGAAGAACGTAAAGCCCCCCAACTAGCGCCGCTCAAATGCAAACAATGTGAATGCTGAGACAAATAAAGGTTCAAAGACAGAAGCAAAATCTATTTTAACAGATGATATACCAAAATTCACCACCGAAGAATACAATCAAATGATGACAATACTTCGAAAGGCCAACATTGATGATATTTGGCGGTGATATTGGCGATGATGTTGATTTGGTGGTGATGAAGATGTGCATCCTACCTTTTCTCTTTGTTTCTATTGCAACCGAGTGGAAGTGGCGGCGATGGTTGCAGGTGTAGGTGGTGGTGGTGTGATCACCACCTATTTTTTGTTGTATTGCAAGCAGTGGAGGTGGTCGTGGTGCGGTGTAGGTGATGGTGAGAGGGTGCATGTGACGACGGTCGTGGTCATCATTTTTTTTTATTGTTGGTGGTGATTTCGTGGTGTTGTGGTGGCAATGATGACGAGGTGAGGACAGTGGAGGTAGTGGTGGTATTGTGGTGGGTGTTTGATGTCTGTGACCAACTATTTGGTCTTCCTGTAACAAACTATTAATCAATGAATTTAAAATTCGATCATTTTGTGACTAAAAATCTGTGACCATCAAATTGGAAAATATGTGACATGTGACCTATAATTTTTTGGATTTGTAACAATGACATAAAATGTGACCTATAAAATAAATAGATAAATTGTGATTTGTGATCTCGAAACAATCAATGACCTATCAAAGTTTTGACTCGTGACTTCGAAATAATTTCTGACCAATTAATTTGATGATATGTGACCAGCGAATAAATCTGTGATCTATAATTGTGTACACGTAACCACTAATTGTATAATTGTGACCTTAATATATTTAATTAATAAATATTTTTAATTAATTAAATAAAAACTTGATTTTTGCATTAGAAAAAATAAAAACTTGATTTTTAAATTGTGCATAGTTAATACATGGTTTCTAAATTTTTCTCTTACTGTTTTAGGTTACTTATAGCTAATATAACGGCCAAATCCTACAATCCAGTTTAGTATTATAAGACTATCACAAAAAATTTATATATGTTGATTCTCAATATTTTGTACCTGTTGTATTTTATTCTATCTTAAGCCCGTCTGATAGAATATATAAATAAAATTTCATTTATGTTCAAGAAAATATAGGGTGCTGAAGATCAACTCTAGTGCTTGTTTGATAGGGATTTTGCTAATTTATTTTTTGATCGTTAGAGATAAAGTGGGTCCTACCTGTGAGAGAAGAATTCAAAAATAACAACTGGAATAGTGAAATAACGGTCAAAAAATTGATTTTAATTGACTTAAAATCTGTACCAAACAAGCCCCTATTTTCTAATACAGGACCATAAGATTCCTCGTAAATTTTAATTAAAAACTATCTTTATGATTCTACTTCAAACTTCTCTTTTTATATTGGTGGTGTGGGTTCGATTGTATAGACCTCCAACGCAATAAGTTCACTTCGACATGTTCATGTCGAGTTTAATTTCGTAAAACCAAAATTTATTTATATTAAAACTTTTAAATAAAAAATATTATTGAACAAAAAAAAATTTAATTTTTTGAAAAGTTTGGATAATTTATAACCACGTGGACATGTTTTTCATGTGTATGTTGAGCAATGGAATTTGATCCCAAACCAACAAATGATGATTCAAAGTATTTAATAAATCTTATCCACTAAACTTCTACAGTTGCACATATTGACACCTCTCTTAAATTTTAGACTATAATAGGACTTGTAATGGAATAGACACAAGCAAAAATGTTTATTTTATAATAACGCCGTAATTTAACAAATTAATGCAAAATAATAATTAATCATGATTATCAGCAATGAACGAGTTTTTAAACGGCCTTTAATGTTCATATTAATATTTATTTTATTTTTTATCAAGAATTTATTGAATTTATGTTCAATGAAAGAGAGGTCTCAACTCCACAAAAGTTGACCAAACTTTTTCAATTCTTCTCCTCTTTTTCTTGGTATACTTATTTTCCATGAAAAATGTGTTTTTTCACCAAAAATCCTACTTTTGTGCTGTTTGATTATCATTTTTTTCATAAAAAATATTTTCTCACTTTTGATCACGTGACCATATTTTCCTAAAAATCAAGGAAAATATTTTCTTTAGAAAGAGTATGATTTTATTTTTTACGGAATTCACTCTCTCTTTCTCTCTCTTATTTATCCACACTCTCTCATTAACCCACCAATAAAAAATGGACAAGTGTAATATTTTTTAAATTGAAAATTAAATCAATCAAACACATTTAATTAACAATTTTCATACAAATAAATTCTAGGCAATTGAATTACCTAGAATTTATTTTCTTTCCAAGCAAATTCCATGCTTACAATCAAACGCACCCTAATAGAATATCTGAATGTAAAATATGTTAATTAATGAAAAAATAAAAATAAAAATGCAATTATAAACAAACATTAGCAAAATAAGTTTGACAATGAGCAAAGATTTTGGACATTAATACAACAAAACTACAGTCACAATATATCTAGGGAGGGAGCCAAAAAAAATAAAAAATAAAAATGGCTGACATATGGAAAACAATTATTTTTCTATTTTTTTAAATAAAAAATCATCTGAATTATTATTACCTGTGAATTCGTAACTTTTGTAATGAAAGAATATCCCTTAATAAAAAATATATTAAGATTCTTTGGATAATAATAATAAATAAATAAAAACCTTAAAAGATACTATTCACTCTTATTAATAAAGTTTCATCTTTTGCTATTACAACAAAATAATTTAAGTCAATATAGAATTTAAAATATATTTGCCAGTTGGAAAAATTCAGGTTAACTGCCCCCATCATTATGATATTAATAATAATGAGTATTATTTTAATTAATCTTAGGAGTAGATAAGCACTATTTAACTAAGGTTTGTATATAATTATTAGTGATTGTTTGATTTGTGTTTTAATTTTCAATTTTAATTTTTAGATTCATTTTTAGTTTTCAATTTTGAAGGTCTATTTTAAGATTGCTAAAAACGTATTTGATTAGTCATTTTAAAAAATTATTTCTCTAACTAAAAAAACTAGAAAACACGTTTGATTTGAAATTTACCTCGTTTGGTACCAATATTTTTCAAAATACATTTCTCTCTCTTCTTTTCAACCACACATTCTTCATTAAAATAATATTACACGTAAATCAAAAACTTTTTCTTATTTTTCAACAACACATTTCCCATTAATTTACTATTACAAAATATATTTTTACATAAAAATTGCTCCCATACACCCTCTTAAAAAATAAATAAATTGTTTTATAACATTTTGTTCTTTGAATTTGATAGTTATGTAAAAATAGAATAATTTTATTTGAATATATTATACAGTAATATATACATCTTAAAGTTGATGAACTTTAAAATATTTTTTCTCGCTACAAAAGTAAAATAAAATAAATAATATTTTTAGTTCAAAATATAGAAAATAAAAATAAAAATTAGAGAACATATTTATATGTGTTCAATTAATTTTTTTTTAGAATTTTTATGAAAATAGTCATTAAGGGTTTGAACTATTTTTATACGTTGACCAAATATGCTTTCATTATTTTTCAAAATTGGAAATTGAAAATGGCTTGAAAATAGCAGGCCAAATACACCCTTATTTTTTAAGAAAATAATAATGTTTCTTACTAAATATGTGGATAATAAATAAATAGTAATTATGAATGTGTGATTGGAATTATTTTAATTCTTATCCAATAAACATTTATTAATAACTTAAAAATATATATATAGAAACACAGGCTAAAACACAAGTACGCCACCTATAGTCCTCTCTACATTATTGTACCTTTCTTCACGATACTCCAAAAAGGGGATGGTAGACACCCTCAAGGTTGCAGTTCAAACTTTTTTATTTTTTTTTGACATTATTGTACTTTTTTTTCCTTTAAAAAATATTCTGCTTCATTTGTTATTTCATGGCCTTCAATTAAAAGCCTGTTTGAGTCTATTTCTTTCAAAACAAATATATATTTAAATAATGATTTAATATTATTTTAATTATATATTTTTTAATAAAATAAAATAATATTATACTTAAATTTAAATTTTTTTATTTTTTAATCATATATTTTTCATTAATATACTACTTAAAAATTCATTTTTATGAACATAACGTGGCTCAAAGAAGGCCAAGAGGCATCTAGAGAGGGGAAGAGCTGCAGTAAATTTCAAAACAGTCTGGTCAAAGCCGCCACCTTACAAAAGATTGTGCATATAAAGTTGGAATCTTGCAATAATATATATTAATATTTCAAAAGTGGAGCCCCCCCCTTTTATTGTTCCTCTATCTGCTATTCGTTATCTAATGAAAACTATACTGGGTTTCTAAAAAGTAAAGGAGCGAGGATCAAATTTTGGGGTTTGTTTTCGCAGCTTGAGGGGCTCTTTAATTACTTTCCAAAAAAGGGCTCTTTTTTGTGGACGGAAGAGAGGGAGATGGAGGTTATGTATTATCAAAAGGTGGGGAGTTCTTACAATGAAACTTTGAAAGTTTTGGAGTCCGATATACAGTATGCAAATGCTATGTAAGTTTTCAGGTTCAGAGCTCAATTTACTTTCTAATTTGTAGTCTAGAAAGAATAATTTTTGTTTTTATGTACGACAATTTTAATTATGTTCATCATATAAAGTATCCTTCTTTTTTAAAGAATTTGAAACGACTACACCTCGATGATAATTGATCCCAATTAAGTCAAACGATCTCTGATTTTGTTTTCGTTGTCAACAAAGTTGGTGGGGGTGGTGGCTGCGGCGGCCGTGCTGGAGGAGGCTGGGATAGGACGCCGTGGTGGTAGGTGGACTTTCTGGGGATAAGGAGGATGAAAATGAAATTGGAGGAAGGAGATGAATAAAGAATTATTATTATTATTATTTTATTATTTTATTATTTTATTTTTATATATTTTTTAAAAGGTTAGTTTTAAGAATTTTTTTTATTTTTTATTTTTCAAATCAATAAAGAAGCAATTTGAGGGTTTGAGCTTGATATTTCTTTTTTGGGTGGTTATTCTTTGGTTTTCTTAGAATTGTTCTGAATACTGGACAGGGGTAAAAAGAAATCTTGTCAATTATACTCTTCAATCCCGTCAAGTGCCACCGTTCATGCACTTAGGGTTCCATTTTGTAGTACATATTCTTGAGGGCATAATACTTGAATATTTTGTAAGAGGACAATCGATATACCATTTCTTGCAGCATTTTGATCATTTTTCTGCTTCTCTAGGATTGTCCTAAAATGAGGTTACATACATTGCCCTGTGTGCTTTATGGGGGAACTAATGGCCTTTCTTGGGAAATATTTAGACCCAAACTCGTGGAATTAAAAAGTAACAAGCAAAAGTCGCTTAATTATTGTTTCGAGATGATTTAAGTAATTAATCCCATTAATCCTAAGTTTAAACAATCATATAAACGTATAGATCAAAAGCAAGCGCTGGAACTCTAAGCTCCTCTTTTCCAGCTTTAGAATTCTGAATGCTTATAGGTGAAGTTAAGGATTTTTGGTGTTTGATCTATGAGTTTTCTATGTTTTGATCTATGGTTGAGGCAAGAGAATATAAAAACAAGGACTTGATCTTCAAAGAATGTTCTCTAGACTAAAATTAAGGCTCAACCAATAATGAAACAATGTTTGGGATGAATTTATGAATCGATAATTAAGTAGTTGAATCTAGAGATCTTTGAATGTGTTTTGGATCTTTAATATGATCTCTATAATGAAATAATGATTCAACACCATTTGGGATGGACCTATGCTTGTGTGTGTATGTATATATATATATATATATATATATAAAATAGGTAGTATTTGAGGTGAAATAGGATTGAAAAATACTGTTAAAATCGAATCAAGATTCTGTCTGGATAAATACACTGCCTGAGTGCTGCGCCTGGCGCCTAGCGAGTGGTAACTCCGCCACTTTGAGCGATAACCTCAAACCAAGCGAGTGGCAATACTCCTGATCTGAGCACTTGAATGGTGGAGTCGCTGTTCACTATGCGCAACCTACTTTTAGGAATCTACCAACCCCAAACTAATTTGAATTAAATTACAACTCAAATAACTATGATTATGGATATGGATAAAGCCAATTACCATTAGGACCAACAGTCTTTAATCTGGTTCTATTTTTTGTATAACGAAATCAACAAATGGAAATGAATAGATTAACAATTTGTTTGCTGAATATTTTGTGTTAATTACTTATATTACAGGGCTGCAGCAATTCCGAAAGCTAAGGATGGTGCGCAACTTAAAATGAAATTGGTTTACAATCAATTGGCGCCTCTCTTTTTGTTTTTGCTTCAATGGATGGATTGTTCGTGCACGTGCTTTTTCCCTAGATATTTCAATTTTTTCCACATACTTATTTACAAGGTCCAGTTTTTGTTTTCCTTTCGTTCTGAGATTATACATTGTTGAATAGTTATAGACCAAAAAATTGATGAATTATTACTTAAGTTTCGTCCGTAATTTGTTTCAACTTTTTTAATTGATAAGATCTCTCTATTGTGACACAGGTATATACAGACGGTAGGCCGAAAATATCGACACGGGGAAGGAAAGCAAGTATTAAAGACTTTTATGGTTCGTCAGTTAATCATTCTATTTACTTTAGAGAAAAATGACATCCATTTTTAATTTATGCAATTATTCTTAGTACATGCTTAAAAAGGTAACACAATTGCAGCTGTCATATTGCCATCACTGGAGCGACTCCAGAGTGACTTTGTAGAGCTGGGTAGTACTGGACATGATGATCCTCATCTGAAAAGCATTGGCCAGAAGAGACTAGGAGATGGCGGGGTTTCCAACTTTGATTCACAAAGAGATGAAGAATGTGGGATATGCTTAGAGCCTTGCACCAAGATGGTCTTGCCTAATTGCTGCCATGAAATGTGCATAAACTGCTACCGCAATTGGTAAATAGCATGATATTTGTGTTGGTGTGCATATTTTTCCAGGGAAATTTGCATTGTTGGTTCCTAATCTATTGCTTGAGTAGCAAGTTGGTCTAATTTTTCATCAGAGTTGCAGAGTCAGTTCAAAACTGGCCAAAATTTCTGTTAAATCGCAAAAAGACCCTCATTTCTCCAACTTCTTGAAGCTAGGTTCTGTTTCCCCATTTTGGTTGGTGTTTAGAAATTTGTAAGTGAGGTGTGTCTTCATGAGGTCGCATGACAATTTAACAAAAATAATTGCATAGTTTTCGGCTTTAAGGACAGATTTGTGCAATAATAACAAAACGTTGAGGGATAACTTGCTCCTTTTCAAAGGTTGGAAATCAACTTGCTATTACGGTGAGAGGTTGATGGGCTGTAGGTTGCGAACCAATGGTGCAATTTCCCATATTTTCATTATTGATAACCAGTATTGAAGTAAAATTTCTATTTGTTGGCTGACTAATTTTCTTGGCCTTTGCAACTTTTAGGAGTACAAGATCGGGGTCGTGTCCATTTTGTCGTGGTGGCATAAGGAGAGTAGAGTCAAGAGACCTATGGGTTCTTACATGCAACGATGATGTGGTTGATGCTGACACTGTTTCTAGAGATGATGTCTTGCGTTTCTACCTATACATCAGTAGCCTGCCTAAAGATTCCCCTGATGCCCTGTTCTTGATGTATTACGAATACTTAATATGATGTGAAATAAAATTGTTGTACAGATAGAAGAATCTGATTTTCAAATGTAAATTTGGGAAAATTCTCAAATTGACACAGAATAAACCACATATTTTCTTTATATGGTGATTTTTAGGATACCTGTAAATTATTAAAAGTTGATTATTACCAGAACTTGTGTTTCCACTTTGCTCTTTGGATGAATTGATCTGGCACTGTAAACCCTTCAGGCAATGTTGGAAATGCTGGTTCCATTTATTCTATTTGCTAATGATCAGCTTATCAAATCAAGATTGACAGAAGCTATGATCGAGAAAGAGATAAGCCGAGTTCTTGTCCATTGATTTTGTGGAATGGATGCCATCCCAGTTTATTTTTTCCTCAGTTCCTTGTGCATCGATGTTTCAGTGGTGCCACAAAGAGCTGCAAGTTGAAGTCTTGTCCTTCAACACATTTACAGCATCCTTTAAAAGGTTTGTCAATCTGGTGCATTGTTGGATGCATTAAAATTATTAGCTATGAATATTTATATTTTTGACGTTAAGTATTCATTTCTCCTCTTAATTTTTGTTTGGGTGAAAGTTTCGCTCTTCGGAGTGATATTGAATGATATAAAGTGATATTTCTCATCCATTTTGGAGTATGGGTAACGTACAGCTGCATGAATATGCCAAGTCGTGTTACCAGTAAATTTGGAAATTATACATGCATTCATTAGAATTGAACGACTGATACTCAGAATCTGGTTGCCATTAAGTTTTTTCTTTGTTCTCTGTATTTGCTTTGACATCCAGCCCTATCTATAAAGATCGGTAAGGCATTTCATTTCACTATTGTGAAAGAAATACTCAAGCAATCTAGAGAGCAACTATGAATGATCGTCTTCCATTGATCAGAGTTGGTTGGTTACCTCTTTGTTCTTGTGTATATAGGAGCCCCAATAGAATATATTTTGGTAAGACTTGAAATCCTTCCTTTTTCATTTTTTTTTTTCCTGTGGTATTTTTTCGTAGTATGTATCTAGTATATGTCCTGCGAAGTGTGTGAATAACATTAATTTCACCCCTTCCATAAACTGACCTAGGTAAATTCATGAACTCAATTTGATTATTCTTTATTACTAGACATATGAATCATGAATTGTCTTCTTATGATTCATCAACTAGATAGCGGTTAGCAGTGACTATTGAATAATTTTCTTTAGCTTGAGTTGGGTTAAAAGAGATTCCTCCTTTGCCATGGAAAAGCTTCATTCTGTTCACAAGTGATTGATTCACAGTAAAGATTAGTGTTATTTTTTCTATATCTCATACAGAAACCATTGTTTTATAATTTGAATAAACGGCATGCACCAGCAAATGCCCTTATTCATGTTGTTACCGCAACATACGGAAGATCCCTCCAGTTTGCGACAAATGCTGACCACCAGAAGTCTGAGGAATACATGCCAATGTACAGTAAAATGTTAAGCTGCCTTGTATTAGGTTGCTCTTGTTACTTTGTTAAGGGCATTAATTAAATGTTACATTTCTCTCGTTTTATAAGAAAGTAGTATGGACTTAAAAGGAATGGTAAATTGACTCAAAGGTGGTTCCATCTTAGTGACAAAGTTTAGTAAAATCATTAAACATCCAAAAGAAATATTAACGTGGAAATTTGTGCTTTTCAAACATTCTCGAAACTCTTAAGCCAAAAGTATAAAATGACATATGATATCGCACTTATTTTTATTTATCATAAAGAAATAAGTTCCAACATATTGAAGACACTATATGAAACCGGCCTTCAAAGAGGAATTAATGGACAAGGTTCACAAGAACCGTGACTCAAGACTCTCCAAACCCTAGTCAAAGATCGCACAATAATCTCAAAAACCCCATACAAGAACCACCCTAAGCTCTCTCAATCACACGCACCACAACCCGATCTACTACAGCCAAATATATCAGCCACAGACTACACATACGGGCCTATACACAAGGATTTTCAGGTACATCAACCTCTCGCATGTTTACAGAGATCACTTTCTCGAAGAAGACCGAAGAATAATATTCAGAGAGAGAGACACAAAACCAAGAAGAAAAGGGACTTAAGTTCTCTGAAAATCATATGGAGCCTGATCATATGAAAAATGTGGTTTAATCACAACAATCCAAGAAATTCAATGGCTCAAATTAGAGTTGGGAAAGCACAATCCAAGTAATGAATAAGTAGCCAGTTGGAGGTTGTCATGTGGCCTTCCTTACAACAAGTTTACCAAAAAATTCTCAGTTAATTGTTAGTTATTGGAACATGTTTTCTTTCAATCTTCGCATTGATTCACGAAATACACTCTCTTAGTTGCAATGATTCACATAGTAAGCTGATCATTGTCATTGCCCAAGTACCTGCAAAAGAATTACCTATTATCAATATGTAGAAATGATAAACAAACTTTAAACTTACTATTTCTCAATATTAATTTCACCTAAGGCTATCTTATTTCTAAGAAAATGGTGCTTCACCTCAATATGTCTTGACCTCTCATGATAGCCAAAAATTTAATTAAGGGGGTGTTTGAGCTACATTATTTTGGTAATAATGCATTCTTGAATAGTATATTGATGAGAAATATGTGGTTAAAAAATAAGGAAAAAATTTTTGATCTGTGTAATATTATTTTATTGAAGAATGTGTGGTTGAAATTATGTTAAATAACTGTTTAAGAATGTATTTTTTTGAGATAATGTGGCTCAAACAGGCACTAAGTAACAATGTACTCTGACTATCAGTAAGAATAATGGGAGAATAATGCAAAAAATTCAATTCATTCAAAATGCCTTTCAACTAAATGCATTCTTTCACAGCTTCAGTCATTTCCACATATTCAGCTTTAGTACCGGATAGTGTCACAATAGACTGTAATTGGGATTTTCAAGTTATACAATTATCCTCCAATGTGAAGAAATAAGAGAGAGTTTATTTCCTCTTATCTTTGTTACCCACAAAGTCAGCATCTACATTTCCTTTAAGGATTAATCTATCAAACCTCTTCAATTTACAAACCAAGTCCGTTTTTTCCTTTACCTCAAAACCTATGGGTCTCCTCATATAGATAGTTTCCTCCAATTCCCCATGTCCAAAAGTAGCTTTAACAACTAATTGTTCACGTTGCCAATTGAATTAAACTAATGCTAAAATTAATCTAAGTGTTTTATATTTAAAGACAAAGGAAAATATTCCATTATAGTTAGTCCCTTCTCTTTGAGCAAAGCATTTGACTACAAGCTCGACTTTATATCTCAAAGGATCGGGAGGGTTGTTTCCTTCTTTTAATTTGTAAATCCACTTATATTGTACGGTTGTTTGACCTTTAGGCTTCTTAACCAATCTCCAAATCGTATTTTCAATTAAGGATTGCATTTCTTCCTCCATTGCCTTTTTCTAGTTAATAGATTTAGGCCCATTCATATCTTCTTTAAAAGAAAAAAGGTTATGAATATTCAATGCCTTCACCTGAAACTAAGGCAAAATCAATAAAGTTTTGAGACTCATATCTTGGATTTGGTTTAATTTGACTTCTTTCTCTATCACTATCTAATTGATAATCTTGGATAAGTTTCTCTTCAATTATCAAGGTATTAGTTTCGAATCCAGTTCATTCATGAGGTACATCAATCTCATCAATCACGGGTTCATTCTCATTACCTCCTTCTTAAGGAAATACATGTTCGTTTTTTATTTTATTTTTTCAGATTGAGTGAAGTTATATTTTGTCAACTTTACCTCATTTGGAAATTTTCTTGTTAGTCAGTTTTATCAGAATCATCATGTTTGGGTTTTAGACATGACATTTCAAATTCATTAAACACAATATCTCAGCATTGATGATCTTAATACTTGGTACCTCTATAACTTACAACATGTAACATTTAACCTCATGATAACCTAATATAAAACATTTAATGGCTCTAGGCTCCAACTTGCCCTTAGTTTGGTGTGCATAAGCTACACACCCAAACACTCTAACGTGTTAAATTTGGTGACTATCCAGTCCACAGTTCTTGAGGTGTTTTAAACTCAACAGAACTAGATGGAGATCCATTAATCAAATGCAGCAATGCATATAGCCTCAACCTAAAACCTCTTAGCAAGGTCTGAACTGATTAGCATGCACCTGACCTTATTCATGACGGTCATATTCATTCTTTCTGCAACCCCATTCTGTTGGGATGTGTACTTAACTATCATGTCTCATGAATCCTTTTTGCTTACAAAAGTTATCAAATTCCAAGTTACAAAACTCTAGACCAATATCATTTCTCTAAGTTTTTAACTTCTTATCCAATTGATTTTCCACAGTTTTAAGCTAAGTCCTAATTTTATGAAAGTCTCAAATTTATCCTTTGACGGATAAACCTATACTTTTCTAAAATAATCATCTGCTAAGGACAGAAAGTACTTATTTCAACCAAATTTGGGATGCTTTTCAGGCCCCCACAAATCTACATGGACATAATCTAAAGGTCTCTTAGTTGTATGTGATCTTGTCTCAAAATTCACCCTGTGAGATTTACCCAACACACAAGTCTCATAAAAGTTTAGTGGATCAACAAGACCTTTACCAAGTAAATTTTGGAAGCTCAAATATTTCAAAACTTTATTCCATATATGCCCCATTCTTTTGTGCCACAATTCAGATTATCATCAGTAACACTATAGAGATTAGCTAGTTGTGAAGTAATGGCATCACCCATCAGGTAGAACAACCCATTTTTCTTAGATCCTTTCATGACAACTAGGGATCCTCTCATGACTTTTAGTGTATTATTTTCAAATTTGAAGATATCTCCTTTATCCTCAAGGATTCCCAAGTATATGATTTTTCCTTTTTAGATTAGGGACATATTTTACATTTCTTAATAGCTTGAAAATACCATCATACATCTTGATGGCTATGTCCCCAGTACCACTAACGGTAGATGAATTGTTATCACCCATATAAACCTTTTAGGTTCAATTTCACTATAGTTGTAAAACAATGCCTTGACGAGACAATTGTGGAATGTAAAGCCTAAATCTAAAATCTAGTCTTGGCTAATGTCTTCACACGACATAGTCATAACATGTAAGCTGAACAATTCGTGACCAACAATGGAATTGTTCAATTCCACATTGTTTTGATCATTTTACTT